GATCGTCACATAATTATTCCCCTTTTGCATGTATATATATATATATATATATGTGTGTCAGTGCATGTGTACCTACGTGTGAAGCTAGCATGGCCTGAAGTGCCCGCGTACTAAGGGTCAGTCGAAGGGTGGGATGAATAGAAGGGAGGGGATATCCCTCGCCAATTCTTGTTTCTTTTCCTCGTTGCGATTTATCTTGGTGGAACGATAAAGTTCCGGGCGGAAGGGTCAGCGTGTTGCTGGTGATGCGCCAGACAATTCACCACCGCTCTAAACTCCCTCCTGCCCTAGGGGTGGTCTTGCCGCGCACCCGTTGGGACACCTCAGGGTGCTGAAAACGAAAAAAACCTCAGGCCGGTTTTGCATGCGCTAAAGGGATTACCCTCATTGGCTCGCGCTTCAGCCAACGCCGGAGCGTCGAAAGGTGACCCCCTTGGCTCAAAATAGACCATTTGGGTGTGGGCACTACACAATGCACCGTCATCGCGGCTACTCGCGTGGAACTGCATAGCGAGATAGTATGTGTAAGTCCAGCGCCCTCGCGATCTTATACTAAGTTCGCGCCCGACACTCCTCGCATCCTGCACTAAAAGAGTTATGGGTCAGACGGCGAGATCACGAGCGAGACACGGCCACTAAACTTGGGGGTCTTGGTAACATGGAGCGGCACGTGGGCGGAGGACTAGCTCCGGTCAACCTTTGGGGGTCTGTGCACGGACCTCATTATCCCAGACGCCGGGTAGCCTATGGATAGGATACCGGACCTCCTCCGCGCGCGCATCGTTTGGGCTTATCCAGCCCCTTTCCATTTTAGAGGGCCATTAGCTAATGGGGGTCGGATTGAGTCTCTTTTTTTGCGTTTTCATGGTTGGACGTTATAGTCCGTGGCGGCCGTCAAAGTCAAMCCCCTTGATGTTTGACCGCCACGACAGCTTAAAGTTGTCTACTCAACCCCTTTGCACAGGGTGCAGAAGAGAGTGTGGTCTTCAACCCCGCACAGCGGTTGTCTAGCGTCGAGAGATTAACCCTCAAGGCGCGTGTCAGCCGACACTTGAGTGTCGAATGCGACCCTCGAGAGTAACGAGGACCGCGTGAGTATGGGTACTACATAGTACGCCATCACTGCGACCTCGTGCGTGCGTTTGCATTGCGAGTCGACATGAGTTAGCCCTGCATCCGCGCGACTTCTATACTGAGTCTCGCGCGACGTCTATCTGATTTCTGCATCGGGAAGTTATGGGTTGGCTACCAAGGGGCTAGGAGCATTGTCGCGTTGTTTGCGTTGTGTCGTTTCGTATGTGTGTGTGCGTGTGTTTTATTATTGTGTTCGTAAGGTGGTGTGCGCGTGGTGTGTGGGATGCGTCCTAGTCAACCGACGTCGGGCCGAGCTTGGGACTCCAGCCCCCCAAGATGTCGGTTCGCGTGCGGGTCCGATAGGAGTATTACCGCGCATACCCCCTATGCTATAGCGAAGGAGAAACGCCCTCGGTTGGTCCACCTCTGCGATTGCAACCGAGTAGCTTTCGTACTGTGGACTGGTAGCTCGGCGGGGATACGCCCACCGAAGGAAGGTGACAGCTCCCGTAAGGTGGAGGTAAGTTGTGCCTCATGTAGGCCCTATCCTGTCGTAGGGGCTCGCGAGAGGTATGGTTGGCGCACTCGGCCGGAGCAGCCTAAGGAAGCTTCATGCGCGTGTTCGTGTCGAGGTTGGTCCAACTCCTGTGTGACGCGGCCGAGAGGGTCCCGCGCGGCTACGTGCGGTGCCGGACCGATGCGCTCGACAGGTGGCGCCATTGTCGGGGATAACGGAAGCCTACCGTTGTCCCTGGTGGAACGACATCCGGGTGATATGAGAATGAGAGAGAACTAGGCACGTGAGCAAATAGGAGAAGAACTATGAGATGGGTCGTATAGTAGTCTATATGGCTGTGTGGGTATGAATGTTGAGCTGATTGGTGGTTTGGTTGATGGCATGAACGAGGCGAGTATGTGAGTAAATTCTGTGATGAGAATGGGTCTTACTTAGGTGAATCCAAGGGAGGTAGGAAGTAGAGAGAGAAACGTCTGCCAGGTCCAGAGCGTCGGGTGCTTAGGTGGTTGGTCCAATAGGATCGTGAAGGAATGGACTGCTGAGTGGAACCTTTCGTCCTATCGCTTCTTATAACAGGGGGATTAAAGTCGAAGGCAGCTAAGCAAAATGTCTGAGGAGATGGCGGGCGGTGGGAGAAAGCTTGTAACGCTCGACGACCTCATCGATGCACTGGATAAGCGAGAGAGAGCGCCGAGCAATGTCCCGAAGGTCGATACATTCCACTTCAAGGGAGAACGGGTGTCCGACTGGCTGGACCTGACAGAGCAAGCACTGGTAGGGTTGTCGGACGAGGTCAAGCTCCAGCGAGTCCTAAGATATGTCCTTCATAGCCACCATCAGGAAGTGGGCAAGGTCGTGGATGCCGCCAATGGTAGCTGGGCGAGGTTCAGGGACATGATGCAAAGAAAGTACAGGTTGGGGGATGGCTTGCTAACCATGGCGGATTTGGAGGCCATGAACAAGGATGACTTCTCCACGATTGGGGCGTTTGTGCACGAGTTTAAAAGGAAGCCGCGGAAGGTGCACGGGATCTCCGAAGAAACGCAGTGTGCGATAATTTTGGGTCTGCTTACTGGCTCGGAGGCCTCGGAGCTGACGGGTCACGGAGGGGGAAATGAGAAACTCACCTGGGCCACTATCGACAAAGGGGTGGAAGAGGGGAGCCTGAACCAGGTAGAGCAGCACCAGGTGCGGCTGCAAACGCGCAAGAGGAAGGAAAGGGACGCCACCGCATCCGGGACCCCAGGGGTGAAGAGGATCGTCACGGACGTATTGGCAGCGCTGGGGTATGATAATGAGGCGGAAGTGCAAAAGAGGGGAGTGACCGTGGCCCAAGGCCGGGCGTTGGGGGCAGTGGAAGAGGAGGCTAGGCGCGAGGACTATGGCGGAGAAGAGACGGGCTCCCAGATCCTAACCAAGGCCCAGAGGAAGCAGCGGAATTTACAAGTGGGGGGTCAAGGATCCGGAAAAGGGCAGGTTCCGCAAGCGATTGTTGTGCCACCACCTGCTGCCACAACAACGTCAGCGACGGTCGGGCCGTCATGTATGGGGCCGCCGCCGGCTTGTGGGCATTGGGTGCCGCATTGTCAGCCTACGTCCTGGCCCAGTTGTGATCACTACGCCTCGTGCGGGGGTAGTCAGACTCAGCCCGGGCAAATGGTCCCTTACGCGGGCCCAGCGGCAAGTACGGGGCCCCCGAGCTACCCTGCGGCTCAGGGTCAGTTTGTGGCCCAACCACCTCCCTCCCAACAGGCCACGCAGGCTAGTGTGGTCGGTGGAGGAAACCAAGGACAAGGCGGACAAGGTAATGGAGGCCGAGGTCAGGGGGGTCGAGGAGGTGGCGGTCGAGGCCGAGGAGGAAATGGTGGGGGTCGCGGGGGTGGTTGGAATAGTCAGGGGGGTCAGAACCAAGGTGGCCGAGGTGGCCAAGAGGGGGGCCAAGGGTATGGGAGGCCCCGCTTTGATTGGTGAAACGCTACCTGCTGACATTGTAGCGAGGTGGGCCATACTATACAGTTCTGCCAACGGCGGCGAGATGATGAGTTGGCAGGTCTAATTTCCTCTTGTATGGACGGGGATATATACGATAAGTGGGGAGAGCATATCGACCCTAGGACCCCGGAAGGAATCAGGCAAGAAGCTCTTAGGCGAGCGGCGGCAAAGCCATCGATAACCCCGACCATGTTCAGGATGTGGCAGGAGAAAGAAGAGTTGGCCATAGAAGTTGAGGAGATTGTGGGAGATAGCGAGGAGGTCACTCAGCGACTAAAGGTGGGGACTATGAGAGAGGAGCCAATAGTTGTTGAATCGGACGATGAGGGGCAGGAAGGCGAGGGAGAGCCGGCCACACTCCTCCTGGGGCGGATGGAAGATCTGCTGGAAAAGGTGGGGAGATACCAGCGGAAGTTGCAAGCCCTGTGTGAAGAAGCCTGAGAGTAGGAGGCCAACCTGCCTGAGGTCTTCCCTTATGACTCCGGGCCAGAGCCTTCGCCAGGACAACAAGGGTGCCCAAGAGTGGCGACTGTAGGGACAGGCCCTAGGTCAGGTATGACCTATAGACCCCCCACGTCGCATGGGAGGGTGCCGCAGGCGGCTCGGACCAGGAGCCAAAATAAGGCTGGGCCTAGTCAAGAGCCCAGTCAGGTGCCTAGTCAGGCACCCCCTCGAAAGGAGCCAGAGCCTGGACGTAGGAAGGAGGTGGTGGAGGTTCCGGAGGAAGAGGAAGAGGATGACGATGAAGAGGATGAGAGGCTCCGACAAGAGGAGGACCAGCGGGCGGAGTTGAGGGCCAAAAAGAGGGGGGCCCAAGAGGAGGCCGAGCCAAGCCTGCCCGATAGCGTGCCTAAGAGGAAGAAGTATGCGGTCCGGATGGAGAAAGGCTTTGATGTGGAACGGGTGGTGGACAAACTCCTGGAAGGCCATAATGACTTGATGAACCTAAAGGACATCCTGGCGTCGGCGCCAAGGCTCCGTGGTGAGTTGAAGGGGCGACTAACGCAAAGGCTGGTGCCAAATGTCCATCTGAGTACGGTTCTGCCTAGAGACGTGGAGTGGACTGAGGCAGGGACAAGGATGGATTGAAAATGTGTGGCGTGCGGGCAGGTGGATTTGGTGATAAGGGACCAGAAGTGTACCGGGATGGTGGACACGGGCGCAGAGATGAACATCATCAGGGAGAAGGAGGCAGTGATGATAGGCATGGAAATCGACCGCTCAGACCACGGCATGTTGCACTACGCTAACTGCAAGGCCGCCTTTGCGGCACAGCGTCAAATGTGATTATAGAGATTGGGAAGGTGCGAGCCAGGACTTGCTTTGTCGTTATGCCCGATGTCGATCACCCCATCCTTCTGGGGCGGTCGTTCCTGTGCCGGACGGAAATGTTGATCTTCAACAAGCACGACGGGACAATGTTCCTGCTCCTGTGCGACCCGGCGTGTGGGAATTATGAAGTTATCACCTGCCGGAACACGGGGCCGGAGAGCGGGAGGAATAGGCACAATCTAGGCTCGTTCACCTTTGAGGAATCAGAGAACGAGCGGAGACGGCTTTGGGAAGTGCCCGAGGAGGAAGATAGGGTTGAGGTGCTGACATTAAGCCTCACGGATGTGAATAAGGCCATGGAGGTGGTATCGGCTCACGACATGGCGGATCCGGAGGCCATTAAGGCATTGAGGRAACAGGTTTTGGAGAACCCTCAGGTGGGGGAGGTGGAGTTGGTGTATCGGCTTCCGGGAGGGAGGGGAGGCCTTGCGATGGCCCAGGCCCGAACGACAAGTCGGCCTTTTTTAGGGGAGGGCTTAAGTAGGGTTCCCAAAGGCAGTACAAGACCATAGATAAGAAGTGTCGCCCAGTCCCCGTGCTCGTCACAGAGGATGAGGAAGCCTACTACCAGCGGGAGCGAGGGTTGATACGGCGTATGCGGGAGCACGCGTTGGTCGGGCCGTGCCGTATCAACGACGAAAATGAGGGGAAGTTGATAATTGGGGAGCCCGACTTTCTGTTGCCCCAGGGGATCCAGCCTCCCACGCTCGTCGTCGTTGAATGCATACGCGCGGTGCCTTTTCTTCATCAGCCCCTTTGTTTCCACCGTCTGTCTTGGTCAACTGACAGCGGGGTTGCGCTGCTGTTGTAGTCCGACGGAGTCGGAGAGCGAACCGGGCCGCGCTGAGAAACACCAGGAAGAGGAGGGTGGTGACGTCAGCATGAGCGGGGAGTGAGCCTGGTCAGGTTCGATGTCCGGGTGCGTTCGATACACGCACGGGACGTGGCGGGAAAGGTGAGGTAGGGAAGGAGACGCGGCGGAAGCAGGCGCTAAGGCAAGGGACGGAGGAGGCGCGGGGCATAATAGGGCAGGGCGAGGCGAAAGTGGCATGGATCCGGACGGGTTGTGCGCCAGGTGCGTTCGGAGGAGGGGTGATGGTGGGAGATACCGATCTCGCTCGGTTGTGAGCCGTTTTGGTCGGGGGAAGGGGCGATCCCGGGGTTTTTGCCCCGGGCGAAACCACTGGTAAGGCCAACTTCAGCGTTGAGTTAGTAAGATAGGAGTAAGATAGAAGACTGTGTGTACGGAGAGATGGCGAAGGTGATGGAAAGGAGGGAAAAGAAACGTGTAGTTTACTCGTTCCTAAACGGAGTTGAGGGGGGAAAGATAGGATTCGGGGGGGTTGAGACTCGGCGAATCAGATAGTAAAGGTAGAATGGTGGGAGAGTTAGTGGGTGGAGAGTTAGGAGAAAAGTCGGTGCGCGGGCTATGGTGGGAAGCTACGAAAGGGGAGAGGGAAAGGTGAATTGCTAGGCCGTTTCTCGTCCGTTTTGGGCAAACAAGGGTGCGAATTAGAGGTTATAGGGTCAGGCGAATCCACTGGTGAGGTTGGATTGGGTGTAAGAGTGATAAGAGGAATGTTAGTTGGGAAACTTACTGCGCCAAGATAAGGCGGAAACAGTAGTGAAGGAAATAACAGGGGATGAACCCGGACGAGGATGGGGGCCGGGTACATTCGAGGACGAGATGGCGAAGGAGGGCGTAAGAGGTGGCGGACAAAGCAAGGCAACGGAGCTGCAGCGCTAAGGCAGAGAAAACGGAGCGAGAAAGGGGGGGCGCAGCAGGCAGGGCAAGGCGAATCAAGAATTGAATGAACCCGAACCAGAATTGCGTCCGGGTGCGTCCGAAGGTGAGGACAAAAGAGCCGGGTTATGGCAATTGGAGAAACGAGTGTTTTGAACTCGTTAGCGGATGGATTTAGGCGGGGAGACGTGCGAAGTTGGGGTTTTAACCCCGGGCGAGTTCGTTGGGAGTGTTAGATCGGTGAAAGAGTCGGTAAAAGAGAAGTTAGTCGAGAAACAGACTGCGCGGAGTGATGACGGCAGGTGGGAATAGCGGACGAGGAAGGAGACAACTCGCCCATTTCTTGACGAGAACGGGCGAGGGAGAGTGTTAGTTTGGGGTTTTAAGGCATTG